GGGTGGGGGCGAGTGCAGCGAGCTCTGTGGGCGACGATCGATGGTCGGGGGCGGCAAAGAGGGGGGTGCTGACTAGGGGTGGGTGGGTATCACGGCAGGGGCCATGATGTTTCCCTAGATTTCAGGGCGCCTCTTCTTATTTCAAGACGTCCCTGGCCCCCCCGCTGGGCAGCGCACGTGCCGCTGGTCACGAGTTGCACCCCCCCCTCTTGGACACCCCCCTCTTGGCCGCTCCCGAAATGGAGAGGACGCATGTTGCCAAACCATTCCCAGACGTATAGGAAAAACACGTTGCAAAAATGTCTCAGCCAGGTAAGAGCATGTCTGGGGCATTGTTTGAGCATGTCTTAAACATGTTTGAACGCATCTTCAACTCAATGACTGGATTGTTAGGGTGTCCACTGCCACGGCATCCACAGAGCGAGCTGGGCGTGCATGTGTGCGTCCCATTGGTGTTCGGTGCCTGGCTGGAGTGCGACACGGCGGCCCGTGCTGGGGCCGCGGGCCGCGCGAGGCGAGGCGAGGCGTCGGGTGACGCTCGCGCGGGGGCCTCTCCGCCCGCCTGCGGGCGCGGGCTCTTCGACGTTTCGACGCCGAGTGGCCTGTGCGATGGTCTCTTTCGTCCGGCCATGGCCTAAAGCTCTTCCTCAACTTTCCCAGGTGTCCAAAATGCTGCAGCAGGCGAGGCAAAAACTGTTGTGGCATTGGCATTTCAGGGGCCAGGAGAGGCCCGACAAGTTCAGAGTAAAGTCTACGAGGGCCTCAGTGGCTCCATTTCCCCACTTGGTTCCACCCGAGTTGGACAGCATGCTCAAGGGCATGCGGCACTATGTATTCCAAGGTTGCGAGCGTGAGCTCCAGAAGCAATATGGAGTCCGCAAGCGGTCAAACATGTATGGATTAGTTCGTCTTGCCGTTCGTCAACTTCGTGATCTAGAGTGGGTCCCTGTGGTGTCCGACAAGGATGGAGGTTTCGCACTGGTGAGGAAGACTGACCCCATTGAAGCGCACAGGAGCGCCCTGGCGGGCACCAGCTACGAAGAGATTTCCCCGCTCCAACTTCATTGGAAAAACATCACATCTGAGTATTGCGACATCGTCAAGCAAGCTTCGGAAGACGACCCCACGGTGGATGGCCCGTCTCTCTTGCAATCCCTGGAAGGTGGGGAACGGAAGGTCACAGCCACTCTTGGGGAGACGCTGAAGACGCACAAAGCGCCCGGCGAGGTTGCATTCAGGATCCTGCACACTCGCAGGCATCATTCGTGTCGTGGCCTCGGTGCGTGGCTATCGAAAACGATCAGCGACCAATTAAAGCACAAACCGTACATATTGTCGAGCACAGAACAATTGATCGAGGTTTTGAACAAGACCACGTTCGCTGCGAATGTTGCCTTTCTCAGGTTCGACGTGCGGGACTTCTTCATGTCTGGCGACCCGTCCACACTTGTGTCAGGTGCAATTCGAGTGGCGCCCCCTCATCTGAAGTCTGCTGCTCGGCGCGTGTCCGAGTTCCTCTTAGATCACCAGTACATCATAAGCGATTTCTTCCCCGACCAGCTCTGGAAAGTCATCGTTGGATCCGGCATGGGAATGAATTACTCTGGCGATCTATCAGACGCAGGGTTTTACGATAGTCTTGAAAGAGGCCGTGTCGATAGCAGCTCCTGGCTGGCCGAACACGGCATTCTCTTGCACTGCCGCTACAAAGACGACATCCTCATCATCGCCGAGGGGGTGATGCGGAGTTATTGGCAGTGCTACCAGTGGCTAGTGCAGAATGACACGCGCTTCAGGTGCAAAGTAGAAGGGAATTCGTTCCGTGGGGTTGATTTTCTCGACATCCACATTTCCAAGGGCCCCAGGTTTCAAAAGCATGGCCTTTTGGATTACAAGCCCATCTGGAAACCCACTAGCTTAGGAGTTCCTCTATCGTGTAATTCATCACATCCCATGTCTGTACACGTGGCGTGGCCGCAAGCCGAGCTTGCGAGGCTAGACAGACATTCTTCGAGCACGGCCATCAGCGCCGAGGCCCGCGGGGTGTTCCTCGACAGGCTTTCGCGATTCGGTTTCCCGAGAGCGCGCGTCAACCATCTCAGCACGTGGTCGCCCAAACCCGACAGAGAGCGCCGGCCCAATGAGGCCAGGTGCTGGAAAATGTGGGTAAGGTGCCCTTTTGACCCCGTGTGGGCCCGCGTGGGGATTTCAAGATTGTTCCAGGATTTTCTCAGCAATCCCCTGGCACAGGACACATGCAAGAGGTTTTTCGGCAAGGTTCCCGAAATCCGTCCAGCATGGGTGGCATCGTCCCCACCGTTTGTCCAAGTTGTGCAGCGTGCTGCAAGTTAATGGAGGTTGGTTGGGTGCGGCGGAGGCTGTATCTATTTATCTGCAATGCCAGGCAGGCGACGATACGAATTCACCGGCGGGCTGTTGAGCTAGTTTGCCAAATCCGTCGTAACATTTTGGCGTCCTGCCCTGGTTTTCAGACTCCCCCCATGCCCGGCAGTAGGCATTTTGGATCAGGGTGGCGCTTACCGCGCCCCAGGCCCAGCAGCTTAGCATAGCGTCTGACTGCTGCTCTCCAGTAGTTCTGGAGAGACCCGAGTCCAGTGGAGAAACATTCACATCTCGTTTGATCTCGTTGAATCAATTCTCAGGGCGTGCCACAGCTCGTCCTCCGAGGCGGGCCAGGCGGAGTGGCTCCGCAGCCCCTGCCACGGCCGGCGGGGCGAGGCGGCAGCCGTGGCCGCGCCGGCAGGGCCGCCCGACCCGGCTGCGCAGGCCGTGCGGGCGGGGGCGAGTGCAGCGAGCTCTGTGGGCGACGATCGATGGTCGGGGGCGGCAAAGAGGGGGGTGCTGACTAGGGGTGGGTGGGTATCACGGCAGGGGCCATGATGTTTCCCTAGATTTCAGGGCGCCTCTTCTTATTTCAATACGTCCCTGGCCCCCCCGCTGGGCAGCGCACGTGCCGCTGGTCACGAGTTGCACCCCCCCCTCTTGGACACCCCCCTCTTGGCCGCTCCCGAAATGGAGAGGACGCATGTTGCCAAACCATTCCCAGACGTATAGGAAAAACACGTTGCAAAAATGTCTCAGCCAGGTAAGAGCATGTCTGGGGCATTGTTTGAGCATGTCTTAAACATGTTTGAACGCATCTTCAACTCAATGACTGGATTGTTAGGGTGTCCACTGCCACGGCATCCACAGAGCGAGCTGGGCGTGCACGTGTGCGTCCCATTGGTGTTCGGTGCCTGGCTGGAGTGCGACACGGCGGCCCGTGCTGGGGCCGCGGGCCGCGCGAGGCGAGGCGAGGCGTCGGGTGACGCTCGCGCGGGGGCCTCTCCGCCCGCCTGCGGGCGCGGGCTCTTCGACGTTTCGACGCCGAGTGGCCTGTGCGATGGTCTCTTTCGTCCGGCCATGCGCAGAGGGGGGCGGGGGGAGGGGGGAAGGCTCCTTAGATTCACCTTAGGATGTTCCAACCAGCTTTAGCCTTGATCCCCAGACAGAATCTCGAGCACCAGAAAAGTACCCCAAAACTCCAGGGTTTTCACGTGTCGGGCCCTGGGAGACACTCGTCCGACACTGTTTCGACACTCCTTCGACACTTTCCCGGGTGCTCGAAAAAAAATCTGGGATGTGGTCCTTAAGTACGATGGGAGCAACATAAGATTTACCCCTGATTCTCAGAAGACGCGGGCCTTGTCTGTAGACGCAGGGCCGGCGCCCTCCAAGAAGCAGCTTCCCGAGGGGCCCTCCCTCCGTCCCCCTATCCCCCTCAGCGCGTCGCCAATCTGTCTTGTCCTCATCGGCTTCCATCGGCTTCCTCGCCTCTTCGCCCGGGGTGGCTGCACTCCTGGATCCCCCGTGAGCGTAGAAAACACACAGAGGGAAAGAAACACACAGGAGGGAAAGAAACACACAGACACAATTAATCGTCGACTCCCAGGAAAATATGGGAAAATATGGGAAGTGGGGGGGAAGACAGAAACCCAGAAGATATGGGAAAATATGGGGAATTGATTTATTTGTGTGTATTTATGTGTGTGTCTCAAGGCCCCTCCAAATCTGTCTTGTCCTCATCGGCTTCCTCGCCTCTTCGCCCTGGGTGGCTGCATTCCTGGCTCCCACGTGCGCGTAGGCGCAGCTCGCTATTTTTTCCCCCTTGCGGAAGCTCAGGGGGTGTGTCTGCTTCAGGAGGGAAAAATCACACAGACACAATTAATCGTCGATTCCCCAGAAAATATGGGAAACTATGGGAAGTGGGGGGGAAGACAAAATACCAGAAAAGATTTGGAATCCTGTTATTTGTGTGTATTTATTTGTGTCTCCTTGGGCCCCTTGAACGTAAGCGTAGACGCAGATCGTTATTTTTCCCCTTACGGAGGCTCAGGGTGTGTGTGTGTGTGTGTGTCTGTTGTAGCAGCGTCTGCCTTCGCTCCCCCCCGCCCTCTTCGTAGGAACGCCACGCCCGCCACTGGGCCACCTCGCCTGGGCCCACGCAGCAGTGAGTCTCTTCGATGCGCCTCACAGCACGCTCCTCTTTTTGGTTCTGACACGCCATGTATCGAAGAAGAAAGAAGAAGAAGAAGAAGAAGAAGCGACATTCAGGAGGGGAAAACACACAGACACAATGAATCACCGACCCCCAGGGAAATATGGGAAAATATGGGAAGTGGGGGGGGGATACAAAAACCTAGAAAATATGGGAAAATGTGGGGAATCCTTTTATTTGTGTGTATTTGTTTGTGTGTTCCAGTTCCCCTTCAGACATACACATAAACGTTCGGCGCTCTGCGCGGATTTTTTGCCTCCGCGCTGGGGGCCCCCCGGCGCCTCCGGCGCCGCCCCTGGCGCGCTCCGCGCACCAGGGAGGGGGTCCGTCGCAGATCCAAGACATTCGCGCGGAGTGCCAACATGTTTTGTTTATGTCGCTTGTTTCTCCCTCCAATGTAGCCAGGGTTCGTGATTCTCCTTTCGTCTTCTCACCGCCAGAGGTACCAGTACGACAAAGAGTCGCAGACATGGGCCAAGCACGCGCTTGGGACCGTCGAGGCCCGTCGACCACCGTCGGGGCAGCGGCAGGGTCTAGAGCCGGAGTGCGAGGGTCGGGGGGAATGATGGTGAGGAGGGGGAACGGCGAAGAGGAAGAGGAGGAGGAGGAGGAGGGGGAGGAAGCGAAGGGGGAGGAAGCGGAGGAGGAGGAGGAGGAGGCGGAGGAGGAGGAGAAGGAGGCGGTGGAGAAGGAGGAGGAGGAGGAGGACGAGGAGGAGGACGAGGGGAAAGGTGAGAGCAGGGTTTAGTCTCGAGGACTCGCGGGACGAGTTGAGCAGCGGCGGGTTCCGCCTCCGTGCAGAATCGGCGCGTTCAGTCGCCACGGCGGTCGGCGCCAGGCTGCCGGTGTGGCACGCCCGAGGTGCGGATGGGGCGCCCGCGCGCTCCGTCCGCGGATCCGTGGTCCACGCCAGCGCGTGACCAGGGTGAAGTCGGGCCTGTCCCCCTACAGGGGGATTCTCGACGAATAATAAAGAGCACCCGCCAAAAAATACCCCAAAAAGGTCCAACAATACCCAACAAATAGTCCCCAGGCTATTTTTGGAAGCGCCGTTTGATTATTTTTTGGGTATCTTTCATTTTTCACCGAAAATCCCCCTGTGGAGGGACAGGCCCGACGTAAGGCCAGTCTCATGTTCCACCCCGCATTTGTTGTGGAAGCCGACCCCGCTCGTGCTGAGTATGCGCCCGTTTGGCCCTCCGCCCCGGTGGAATGCACCGACACTCGCACGCAAGCTGCCCGCGCAACCGTCGTGCAACCGTGCCCTCGTCTGCACGCTGTGTGCCTCGTTGGCGTTGGCGGTTTGTGTGGGCGACCGGGCGAGGTCGCCATGTTCCGTCTCTCATACGGCGTCAGAACCGAGAGCGGGGTCTCGAGCGATGTAGCCCGCAGATGTACGATCCAGATCCAAGGCCGAGGGTTCGCGACGATTGATGTTTGAACGCCTTCGCCATTTTGGCGCGTCTGGAGGTTTTCCGGCGCCACGATTACGTCGGGCGCGTTCCTCTACAGGAGGAAAATTCAAAATTAGTCAAAAATAGTGTTGGGTCGATATGTGTGTATTAGTTTTAATCATGTTTGGGGCATTTTTTGAGCCAAAACGTCCGCCTGTAGGGTTACACGCCCGACTTCACGCCACGGCTTGGTCCGCCTCGGAAGCCCGGCTCGAATGCGCCCCTGGCCAGGTCCAGGGGGGCGATGTTGTTGAGGTTATTGTTGTTGTTGAACATTATTAATTCTAAAGAATAATTATTGTTGGGACCCCTGGTGCGCGCCCCCCCCGCCGCGCCTAGGCCGCAGCCTCATTCTCATAATTTTCGTGAGGAAGCCTCAGGCAAAACGATGTGGTCCAGATCCGGTTGTGTTGTTACGATCGGTTTCCCCTTGCAAAAAATAAGGCAAAGTGGACATTTCTTGTTCTAACATGACCAAACTTCAAGAATCCCTTGCAAAAAATGACACGAAGTGCACATTTGCGCGCGCAAGACGAAATCCTTCCAAAACCTTAGTCTTCGTAGCGATTTTCATATAAAAACATGAAAAACCCAATGGTTTTTCAAAAAAAGGGTTTCAAAAATTCACCCCGCGCGCTCTTGCGGATTTCTTAGGAAACCCAGTACTTTTTCAACATTTCTGTCAAACGGGCTCTTGCGAGCAACTTTTTCACGTGCTTCGAACTTCTGCAACAAAGGTTGCGCGCCTGCCAGGGCCATCATCCCTGTCAAATAATACCATGTGGGACACATTCGTTTTTTCTTCGCGCGCGCACGCCGTCGTCGTCGGCCGCGGGGCCCTGAATAGTAGCCACGGTCGTCCGCATGCCACGAAGTGAAGTGTCCGAACGTCATAGGGCGGGAAGCTGGGTGTGGGTGGTGGCGAAGAGTCGTTTGGAAATTTGGTAGAGCTTGAACCGGCCCCCCCACAAAGTGGGGGTATTGCCCGCCTCCTATGAAAACCCTGGCACTGGTGAGAACGGAGTGTCCCCACGTGCTAGTAATTGTTGTTGTTGTTGTTGTTGTTGTTGTTGTTGTTGTTGTTGTTGTTGTTGTTGTTGTTGTTGTTGTTGTTGCTGTTGTTGCTGTTGCTGTTGCTGTTGCTGTTGCTGTTGCTGTTGCTGTTGCTGCTGCTGCTGCTGCTGCTGCTGCTGTTGTTGTTGTTGTTGGAAAAGGCGTGCGTGGGAGCCCCGGCCGCCCTCCCCCCCGCAACCGAGCAACCGAGCAACCCTCTCTGGGGGTCTCCTGGGGGCGCCAAGGATTCCCTAATAGGATTTCCTAGGAATTCTATAGGCTTCCATAGGAATTCTATAGACCTCCCTAGGAATTCTATAGGCCCCCATCGGAATTCGATCGGCCTCCATAGGAATTCTACAGGCCCCCATGGGAATTCTATACGCCTCCATCGGAATTCGATGGGCCTCCATAGGGATTCTATAGGTCTCCATAGGAATTCTATATCAGTTCCCATAGTGATGTTATCGGCCTCCATCGGAATTCTATAGGCCTCCATAGGAATTCCATAGGCCTCCGCAGGAATTCTATAGCCCCCCCGCTCCCCCTATAGGAATTCTATACGCCTCCATAGGAATTCTATAGGTCTCCATCGGGATTCTATAGGCCTCCATAGGAATTCTATAGGCACCCATACACATTCTGCAGGCGTCCATAGGAATTCTATAGGCCCCCTCCATAGGAATACTATAGGCCGCCATGGGAATTCTATGTGGGCCTCGATCGGAATTCTATAGGCCCTCCATACGAATTCTATATAGGCCTCCATCGGAATTCTATAGGCCTCCATCGGAACTCTATAGGCACACATCGGCATTTTATAGGCCTCCTTACGAGTTCTATAGGCACCCATCGGAATTCTATACGCCTCCATCAGAATTCTGTAGGCCTCTATCGGAATTCCATAGCCCTCCATACGACTTCTATATAGGCCTTCATCGGAATTCTATACGCCTCCATAGAAATTCTATAGGCCCCTATCTGATTTCTATAGGCCTCCATCGGAATTCTATAGGCCCCCACTGGAATTCCGAAATTGGCGCAGCCGCTGGGGCTTTCGGCGGAGCTCCCTGAGGGGGGCCACGATCCTCGTGAGGGGTGTGCCGAAATTGACGCTGCCGCTGGGGCCTTCGGCGGAGCTCCCCGATTGGGGGCCACGATCCACGTGAGGGGTGTGACGAAATAGGCGCAGCCGCTGGGGCCTTCGGCGGAGCTCTCCGAGGGGGCCACGATCCACGTAAGGGGTGTGCCGAAATGGGCGCAGCCGCTGGGGCCTTCGGCGGAGCTTCCCGATGGCGGGCCACGATCCACGTGAGGGGTGTGTCGAAATGGGCGCAGCCGTTTGAGTTTTCGGCGGAGGTACCCGATTGGGGGCCACGATCCTCGTGAAGGGTGTGCCGAAATGGGCGCAGCCGCTGTGGCCTTCGGCGGGGCTCCCCGGCGGCAGGCCACGATCCTTGTGAGGGGTGTGCCGACATGGGCGCAGCCGCTGGGGTCTTCGGCGGAGCTCCCTGATGGGGGGCACGATCCGAGTGAGTGTTGCGCCGAAGTGGGCGCAGCTGTGGGGCCTTCGGCGGAACTCTCCGATGGGGGGCCACGATCTTTGTGAGGGGTCTGCCGGAATGTGCGCAGCCGCTGGGGCCTTCGGCGGAGCTCCCCGATGGCGGGCCACGATCCACGTGAGGGGTGTGCCGAAATGGCAGCGGCCGCTGGGGCCTTCGGCGGAGCTCCCCGATGGGGGGCCAAGGTCCGCGTGAAGGGTGTGCCGAAATGGGCGCAGCCGCTGTGGCCATCGGCGGAGGTACCCGATGGCGGGCCACGGTCCACGTGAGGGGTGTGCCGAAATGGCCGCAGCCGCTGTCCTTCGGCGGAGCTCACCGATGGGTGGGGGGCAATAGTATCCTAGTGAAGGGTGTGCCGAAATGGGTGCGTCCGCTGTGGCCGTCGGATTCCAGGGGGGTCCTGAGCCCCCCAGGGTTCCTCAGGATTCTTAAGGATTCCTGAGCCCCCACCCAGCGTTCCGCGCGGTTCCTTTGGATTCCAGAGGGCTCCTGAGCCGCCCCTGGGTTCTTTAGGTTTCCTGCTGGTTCCAAAGAGTTTCTGAATCCCCCAGTGTCCCAGGGGATTCCATACAGTCTGTATCGGATCCCCAGGGACACCCATACAGTCTATATCGGATCCCATACAGTCTGTATCGGATCTCTACAGGATCCCATACAGTCTGTATCGGATCTCTATAGGATCCGATACAGTCTGTATTGGGTCTCTATAGGATCCCATACAGTCTGTATCGGATCTGTACAGGATCCTATACAGTCTGTATCGGATCTCTATAGGATCCTATACAGTTTGTATCGGATCTGTATAGGATCCTCTACAGTCTGTATCGGATCTCTACAGGATCCCATGCAGTCTGTATCGGATCTCTACAGGATCCTATACAGTCTGTATCGGATCTCTATAGGATCCCATATCGGGTCCTTACAGGATCCCATACAGTCTGTATTGGATCTGTATATAGGATCCTATACAGTCAGTATCGGATCTCTATAGGATCCTATACAGTCTGTACCGGATCTGTATAGGATCCTCTACAGTCTGGATCGGGTCTCTACAGGATCCCATGCAGTCTGTATCGGATCTTTACAGGACCCCATACAGTCTGTATCGGATCTCTACAGGATCGCATACAGTCTGTATCGGATCTCTACAGGATCTCATCCAGTCTGTTTCGGATCTGTATAGGATCTTACAGTCTGTTTCTGATCTCTACAGAATCCCATCCAGTCAGTACCGGATCTGTATAGGATCCCATACAGTCTGTAACGGATCTCTACAGGATCCCATACCGTCTGTATCGGATCTCTGCAGGATCCCATACAGTCTGTATCGGATTTCTACGGGATCCCATACCGTCTGTATCGGATCTCTACAGGATTCCATACAGTCAGTATCGGATCTCTACTGGATCCCATACAGTCTGTATCGGGTCTCTACAGGATCGCATACAGTCTGTATCGGATCCCTACAGGATCCCATACAGTCTGTATCGGATCTCTACAGGATCCCATACAGTCTGTAACGGATCTGTATAGGATCCCATACAGTCTGTATCGGATCTCTACAGGATCGCATACAGTTTGTATCGGATCTCTACAGGATCCCATACAGTCTGCATCGGATCTCTATCGGATCCTATACAGTCTGTATCGGATCTGTACAGATCCTATACAGTCTGTATCGGATCTCTATAGGATCCCATACCGTCTGTATCGGATCTCTACAGGATCCTATTCCGTCTGTATCGGGTCTCTACAGGATCCCATACAGTTTGTATCGGATCTCTATCGGAACCCATACAGTCTGTATCGGATCTCTACAGGATACCATACACTCTGTATCGGATCTCCTATAGGATCCCGTACAGTTTGTATCGGATCTGTACAGGATACCATACACTTTGTATCGGATTTCGACAGGATCCCATACAGTCTGTATCGGATCTGTATAGGATCCAATACCGTCTGTATCGGATCTCTACAGGATCCCATACAGTTTGTATCGGATCTCTGCAGGATCCCATACAGTCTGTATGTGATCTCTTCAGGATCCCATACAGTCTGTTTCGGACCTCTACAGGATCCCATACAGTCTGTATCGGATCTCTATAGGATCCTATACAGTCTGTATCGGATCTCTACAGGATCCCATGCAGTCTGTATCGGATCTGTATTGAAACGGCGGCACGCCGGCACGCATACGTTTTTCACCCATAGGACCACGTCAAGGTCCGTAAGGGAGTCCAAGGGAGTTCAATTTTTTTTGTTATGTTTTTGGTTGCTGGTTGCTGTTGCTGTTGCTGGGGGGGGGGGGGCAGAATGCGTCCACGGGGCTCTGAACGCAGCCTTCGCAATAAGGCGAGGGCGGGTCTGGACGGCTAGAGCGCACGGGGCTCTCACGCACGCTTTTTCCTTGTTGTTGTTGTTGAACTCTCACTCTTGAAGAATAATTATTGTTGATCCCCCCCCACCGGTGCACATTGATTTTTTTCGATTGAAGTGCCACCACCGGGGCTCGCACCTTGTTTTTTCTCAAGGAAAGTCTTCCTGCTCAAACTGTGCCCCTGCCCCCCGGGCTACAACAACAACGGCTCCCGCTTCAGACTTCTTCGATTTTTACTCAGGACCCCCGCTCCCGCCTGAGACTTCCGCGCAATTTACTCAGGAAAGGCGCTCCCGTTGAGACTTCCTCGCAATGTAATCAAGACCCCCGCTCCCGCCTGAGACTTCCGTGCAATTTACGTGGGAACGGCGCTCCCGCCTGAGACTTCTTCGAATTTTACTCAGGACCCCCGCTCCTGCCTGACATTTCCGCGCAATTGACTCAGGAACGGCGCTCCCGCCTGAGATTTCCTCGCAATTTAGTGAGGACCCCCGCTCCCGCCTGAGACTTCCGTGCAAATTGCTCAGGAACGGCGCTCCCGCTTGAGACCTCCTCGCAACTTAGTTAGGGCCCCCGCTTCCGCTTGAGATTTCCTCACAATGTACTCAGGACTGCGCTCTCGCGTGCGACGTCCTCACACATTATTCTGGAGTTGCCTTTCGGCGCTCAGGAACCACGCGCGCGCCAAGGACGCCTTCACAAAGTGGTATCTTCCCTCTTCCTTCGTCCTTCCCCCTCCCCTTCCTCCCACTCTCCCTCGTTCTTCCCGTCCTCTCCTCTTGCAGGGCCCGCGCCAATTCCAATGGCGGGCAGAGAGATGTACGCCCCCGAAGGATTGTCCGCCCTCTCCGGTTTGCCCGTACGTCTAAGCCCGCCGGCCCCAGCAAAGAGAAATAATCCCCCCGAAAGGGGTGTGATCGAAGACGAAGAGGGCGGGCATCGAGGGTGTAGGGTATACGTGTTGAATGGCTCGTACAGCCTTAAAATGGTTGTTGAACATTATTAATTCTAAAGAATAATTATTGTTGGGCCCCCTGGTGCGCAGCCCCCCCGCCGCGCCTAGGCCGCAGACACGTTTTCATCATTTTCGTGAGGAAGCCTCAGGTAATTCGAGTTGATCAAGATCCGGTTGTTTTGTTGTAATCCGCTTTCCCTTGCAAAAAACACTATAAAATGACATTTCTTGTTCTAATATAATCAAATTTCAAGAATCCCTTGCAAAAAATAAGGTAAAGTGGACATTCGCGCGCGCAAGACGAAATCCTTCCAAAAGCTTAGTGTTCGGAGCGATTTCAACATAAAAACATCAAAAAACCAATGGTTTTTCAACAAAAAATGTCAAAATCTCATCCCGCGCGCTCTTGCGGATTCGTAGGAAACCCAACACTTTTTAAACATTTCTGTCAAACGGGCTTTTGCGAGCAACTTTTTCGAACTTCTGCGACAACGGTTGCGCACCTGCCAGGGCCATCATCCCTGTCAAATAATACCATGCGGGACACATTCGTTTTTTCTTCGCGCGCGCACGCCGAAATCTCCAAAAACCATTGGGTTCTGTGGGTGTGTACCCCACGCCAGTGTAGTAGCCACGGTCGTCCGCACGCCACGAAGTGAAGTGTCCCAACGTCATAGGGCGGGAAGCTGGGTTTGGGTGGTCGCGAAGAGTCGTTTGGATATTTGGTAGAGCTTGTAATGCCCCCCCACGAAGTGGGGGTATTGCCTGGTGTCGTATGAAAACCCTGGCACTGGGGAGAACACCACGCGTTCGGGTAAAATGATTGTTGTTGTTGTTGTTGTTGTTGTTGTTGTTGTTGTTGTTGTCGGGGGGGGAACGGGAGATGGAGGATGGAGGGAGGCGAGAGAGACTGGTTTTAGCGGGTTTGGGAGCTCACTCCGCAGTTCTCGGGGGCGGCAAAGAGGAGGGTGATGACTTGACTAGGGGAGGGGGGAGTCATGGCGGGGGCCATGCTACCTCCCCAGATTTCAGGGCGCCTCTTCTGATTTTGAGGCGCTCCTGCCCCCCACCCCCCACCCCTGGGCCGCGCACGTGCCGCCGGCCATGCTTTGCGCCCCCCCCTCTGGGACGCCCCCCTCTTGGCCGCCGCCGACGTCCCCCGTTCCCCATCCCCCCCTTCCTCGGTCTCGCTCGGACGTGTGCACTCTCTCTCGGCGGGGATTCTTGAGGAGCAGCCTGGATCCTCCTGCGAAACAGCCACGCACGAAACCGACAAAACGCACAGGGAATCTACCAGTTTGAAACATATCCCTATCCCTATGTTTGACATCACCTCACCTCGATGCCGATCTTGAGGATTCCCTCAGTTTCTGAGGGCCTATCCCTAAGATTGTCCTCGCGTTTTGCTCGCTCATCTTAGGGATAGGGATAAGTTCGAGGCTGGTTAGGAAGGGACGTCCGAGCCACGGGGAGCTCCTCCTGGGGAGAGGGCGGGGTGTGTCTCGGGGAGGGCGGCGAGGGCGCCCGCCGGGCGCTCGCAGGGCCCAGGGCGCCGCAGGCCTTGGCCGTGGGTGGGGCGGGGCGGCAGGCCGCTGCGAGGGCAGGAGGCGCAGGCAGGCAGGCAGGCCGGGGCATCGCTCGGACGTGCGCATCTTCCTTCGGCGAGGACCATTTGGCGAGAAAACTTCGTGTGCATTTTTCCTTCGACGAGGTTCGTCTTCCTTCGACGTGTGCATTTTCTATCGACGAGGATCATCCTTGATCATTTGGCGAAAAAGCCACGCACGAAGCCGAAAAAAACACAGGGAATGGACGTCCGAGCGATGGCCAGCAGGCGGAGGCTCACGTCGGGCCTGTCCCTCTGCAGACGGAAGATTCGAACATGGGCAAGAAATAGCCTGGGGGGATGATGTTTCGATCATTTTGGGCACTTCTTCCGCATTTGTCCATTTTGTTTTCAATTTATGGCTTCGCCAGAAGTCGGCCTGTAGGGGACATGCCCGACCTACAGGTCGCTCGGACGTGTGCATTCTTCCTTCGGCGAGGACCATCGAGGATCATCCTTGATCATTTGGAGAAAAAAAAACCACGCACGAGACCGAAAAGAGCACAGGGAATGGACGTCCGAGCGATGACCAGCAGGAGGCTCACGTCGGGCCTGTCCCTCTGCAGAATGGAGATTCAAACATGGCAAGAAACAGCCTCGGAGGATGATGTTTCGACTATTTTTGGGCAATGTCCAGCATTTTTTGACTCTGTCTTCAAAGTATGGTTTCGCCAGACGTCTGCCTGTAGGGGGACATGCCCGACCGAAAGGTAGGCAGAAAACTGATCGTGTAAGGCCGCCGTCTTCTCGTGAGCCAGCGCCCCTAGGCTTCGTCGCTCGGCTGCCGGTGCCTCCGCGTCGCTCCCTTTTCCGGCGCTCTCTGCGGCGCGTGGCCGTGCCACAGGGCGTCTACTACGTCACCGCGGCCGACGTCACCGGCGACGGGAAGGCAGCCGGGTGGGGATGTCGAATCTGTCGGGGGCGGAACAGAGGGGGGTGATGACTAGGGGGGGTGGATATCATGGCGGGGGCTATGATTTTCCCTCTGATTTCATGGCGCCTCTTCTTATTTTATTACGTCCCAGACCCCCCCGCTGGGCCGCGCACATGCCGCCGGTCATGATGTGCACCCCCTCTTTTGGACACCCCCCTCTTGGCCGCTCCCGAATGTCGAATCCAGGGTGTTCGTTGCTCCCGCAGGCGGTTGGCAGCTCCGCGGGTACACCTGCCACCGATGTTGCCCTCCAGCTCACGGCCAACCATTGTTTTATCATGAAAAGGCGGTCGTCCTCCTCCTCCCTCCTCCTCCTCCTCCTCCTCCTCCCCCCTCCTCCTCCTCCTCCTCCGCCTCCTCCTCCTCCTCCCCCTCCTCCTCCGCCTCCTCCTCCGCCTCCTCCTCCACCTCCTCCTCCTCCTCCTCCTCCTCCTTTTCTGGGGATGCGGTTCCCCGACACAAGCCTGCGCACAGCCCGCGGCTCCGGAGGCAGATTCGGTAAGCCTCCGGAAATGCCTTGGGGCTGGTTTCGGCTTGGGCCCATTCGGAATGCACCGTATTTCAGTACATCAAAACAATGCCGGACTTTTGGAGCTCCTGCGACCTTCGCATGGGCCCTCTTCTGGCAGCACCCGACGGGGCACGCAGCGGCACGGCAGGTGCCACGGCGGGTGCCACGGCAGGTGCCACGGCACGCGGAAGGGCACCCGGCACGGCGCGCGGCGCTGCACGGTTTTGTCTGCCTTGGGCCGAGTCTGGCGCGCGGGCGAAGGGCAGGCAAGGGCCTCAAGAGTCTGCCTGCCAGTAGTTAGGCAGAATGGCCCACGGTGCTATCATGGGCCGTGTGGAGTGAGGGAGGCAGGGGGTGCGAGACAAAGAGAGAGAGAGAGAGAGAGAGAAAGAGAGAGAGAGAGCGGGGCAGAGAAAGGAGCATGACAAGTAGGAGGACGAGGACGAGAGTGACCAGATGAGGAGGAGGAGGAGGAGGAGGAGGAGGAGGAGGAGAGGCAGAGGGAGAGGGAGAGGGAGAGGAGGAGCCGAGGAGGCGAGCAACAACTCGGCACAGTGTTTCCTTACCTCCGACTGTACCCCTGGGTTCCTCAGGTCGACATCATAGCTTGCTCCCCGATCGAGGGCAAGGTGCTCCTGTGGAAGAGCAAGAGCGAGGACGGCGCCCATCCCGCGCGCGCCGCGCACGCCAGGGCCCCTTCCGAACGAGGCTCTTGTTGCAGGAGAGGAGGCAGGAGGAATGCGAACAGGCTTCTCCCCACCCACCAATAGCCACCCCAACCCAACCCGAAGGCTCCCTATCTTGCCCTCCGCTTCCAGTGGGGCAGGCGTCGGGGAATCACTGAAAAAAAACACATGTGGAGCCCGCCCCCTTTCGCTTCGCCCTCTGGGCGCGCCGCCGCTCCCCCCCTGGGATCTACGAGGAGGAGGAGGAGGAGGAGGAGGAGGAGGAGGAGGAGGAGGGGGAGGAGGGTGCTGGGCTGTGCTGCGGGCCCTCGGCCAGAGGAGGCGTGTGCGGCGCCCTCGGCCCTTGGCCCCCGGCCGCGGGGCCTCCCGGCGCAGGGCGGGGGCGACGACCGCTTCGAGGACCCGCAGGCGTGCTCCAGCCGACGCCCCTCTTTGTCCGCAGCCGCCGTCGTCGACGACGTCGTCGTCGACGCCGCCGTTCTCAGTTTGCCTCCTCCTGCCCGTTCTGCCCAGTTGATCCTCCACCCTCCCCCTCTTGGGCATTGGGCGGAGGAGGAGGAGGAGGAGGAGGAGGAGGAGGAGGAGAAGTATGACGAAGACGACGACGACGACGACGACGGCGACGGCGACCACGACCACGACCACGACCACGACCACGACCACGACCACGACCGCGACGGCGGCGGCGGCGGCGGCGGCGGCGACCACGACGACCGATTCCCAAAGTGTAGTAGCCCCTGTTTGTTGCTCCAACCTCGCGATCGGCCTCTGCCACTCTGCGATGCTGCCTCGCGGAGCGCGCTGCGCCTTCGACTTCTTATGCGCGCGGGTGGCGCGACCGTCGACGGGTCCTCGCGCGGGCACGCGTGTTTGTGCCTTGTGCTGGCAGGCTGCGCCCGTAGGGCACACGCGCAGTGCAGCGACCCGAACCGACCCGATACGATCCTCCTGCTCCTCGTTTCCCCGACCCGATACGATGGACCAGACCTCCACCGACCGCCCGCACGTACCCACTGGGAAGGTGAATCAAACGACATCACATGAATGCGAACAGCCCAGGACACCGAAACATGGACGGCACTCGAGCATCACTACACCAACGGCGCAGGAGCAACCACACAGGACCAAGACCAATAACAGAAACTCCCACTACCAGCGCCAACGCCGACACCTAGGACTTCTCCTTCCTCCCTCCCTCCATCTTCTCCCACACCGACACACACGAGAGCATACCGTGCAGCACGCCGGCATCGACCTCCAGAATTTTCCTCCCCCCTCCTTTCCCTCAGATTTGTTTGTACATGTGTCTCGCAGTGCACGTTGTCCAGAAGCGCCAGATTTCTGAAGCCACGGCCCTGCCCACCTGGTCTTCGCTAGGCCCGGACGATGCCCGCAGCGGTGGTCGTATCGTATCGTATCGTATCCTCGTTTCCCACTTGTTTCTCCGCAGTGGTGGAGAGATGCATTTGGCGTCGTCACGGTGTTTTCGCCGTGCTCCACAAACTTCTCGGTGGGCACCGCGGGTGGGCCTCCTGTTCTTCGCCGCCGCAGTGATCTTTGAGTTCAGGGGGTGGCACGATGATTGGTATCACTGCGTGATGGCCGAATCTTCGAATCCCTCCATGTCCTGCTCCTCTTCCGCTTCGTCCTCCTGCTGCCGTGATGACCCGCATCCATCCTCATTTGTTCGCCCTGGGGTCAGTGGCTCTACTACTGCGTCTCGTGCGCCCCAACAGTGCTGCGCGTGCTCTTGCGCACGTGCAGCTGGTCCGTTTTTGTTTGGCTGGCCAGGTTGTTGCGAACGTGTGTGTTGTCCGATGTGTCCAGCTAGTGTCTGTTTGGCTTCTGAGGTATCTTGAATCCCAGTGCCAGGGACGCATGTTCAGAAATTCTGGATGCGCAACCCCCGCTACTTCCGAACGCGTGAGACATTCGCGCGCAGGTGCATTGGATGGGGCGAGCGGTAATACAAGTGGGCAATGTTGGGATGCCGAACGCGATGACCCCATTACTATACTACATCTGACATCTGATAGGGCTGCTATTCTCTACTGTCTACCGCTGCTCTGTCTGTATGACCCATGCACGCTGTTTTCGTCTGTATGTATATATACATGTTTTGGGTTCTCTCTCTCTCTCTCTCTCTTTCTTTCTCTCTATATCTCTCTTTCTCGCTCGTCCTCTGTGCTATAACCTGCGCTCCTCTGAATGTGCATGTCTCTCTGTTACCGACGAGACGCTATACAATGTCCACAGTTGGACTCAAACTGCACTCTTTAATTGCTAGTTTCTCTATTTTCTTCACTCCCTGTACTCTCATCGTTCCCTGTACTCTCTCTCTCCCTCTCTCTGCTCGCTCTTCACTGAATCTGGGAACATGGCTGCGCGCTGGAATCGACGGGCCATTATCTGCAAGACCCAGGGCAGATTACCGGTGGACCCAGGCATTGGGCCGCGTATTTGAGCTATTAACCCCAGGACCCCTGTAGTCGCACGATGTCGGATAAGTCATGAGTTATATGTATGCAGCGAATACATGATTCATGCAGTCTTTTGTTTTTTTGTCGCAGAAGAACAAAATGCTTGTCAATACTCAGTCCACGCGGTGGGAGTATGCCAGTCACTCCCACACAGTGCTTGCACCCAGGGTTTCCTATTCCTGTTCTAAGGAGCGGGGCCTGTGCGCCGGTCCGGCTGCTATGTTGCCGCCGTCGTCGCCTCGTCGCCGCCCGACATTTGGGGTTGCCGCCGTCGCGGCCCCGTCGTTGCCTCGCATCGACTGCACCGCGTAGAGTTGGCCGCATAGATTGCATCGCATAGATCGCTCCAACCGGATTGCCCCACATATCCTGCACCATCTAAATAGCATTGCATACATTGTACCATATTTGTATATACATCTATAGAGATATTGCGATATACTGCGCCACGGAGATTGCACCACACAGATTGCACACCAGAGATTGTACAGCATAAGTGTCGCAACTTGCACCACATCAAATCGGTTGCACCGCATATGTTGCACCGTATAGATTGCTATATCTAGACTGCCCCACATACACTGTACCTCATAGGTTGCACCACATGAATTGTATTACGTAGATCGCACCACACATCTTGCACCTCATATGTCGCACCACGTAGATTGCACTACGTCGGGTGCACCGCCCATAGTACACCACATTTGTTGCTCCACTCTTGTTTCGCCACACAGATGGCAACATCCATATACATATATATATATATATATATATATGTATATCGTGCACCATCTATTGCACCATAATGATTGCACAACATCGGTTGCACAACATCGATAGCACCGCATTTTGTAACACACAGAGTGCACCACAGGCATTTCCTTTTTTTTCTCCAAGCCCAGGAATATAGACCCCCACCCATCCACACACCGCCTGCTCCGCCAGACTTACGGCACCTCCCCCCTGTGACACTGCAATGTACATACGATTCTGCCCCATCTTCAATTTGAGTGTATATACTGTATATCTACTGGCATTCGGCCCCTCCGGCTATCGTGCCTCGGTTGTGGGTATGAAGCCCATTGGATGTTCGTTGGGATCTCGGGGGGGCCTCCACGGGGGCATCTTGGAAGCAGATTTGAGGCCTCTTGGGGGACGTTCTGGAGCCTCTTTTGGGCCTCTTGGGAACCCCCCCCAAGACCACCCCTCCCTCCCTGGGGAAAGGATCAAAGGGAAGGGGCTACCCTTTGACGCAGTGAGACGTTGGTCTGTTCGGCGACTGGCTCAGGGAAAGGAACGGGAGCGGCGACCTCGATGTGAGAACGGTGACGTCGACGACGAGGCGCTCGACGAACAGCGTCTTGACGACGACGTACCGCGTCTTCTGCACGCCGACAGGGTCGTCGGATGTGTGTTCGGCTCTGGCCATCTCGAGCGAGTTGCATCCTCGGATCGACTTCGATGCGACTCCCCACCCCCCACCCCCTCAGCTCCTCCCTCTGTTTCCTTCCGCGTGCACAGGGAGCTCGACGGAACCTTGCCGCCTACCGAAGCCGACTTAGGAGATTGGGCACCCTGGCCGACCGAACTCGCCTCGTTGGTCAGACACCCCAGAACCTGCAAACCCTCCCGCCTACCGAGATCGACCTGGTCAATTTGGCCAAATCGTCGCGACAATCCACCACCACCCGTGGGGCTCGATATTGGCCCAGGCTTTCCTGCTCGATCGGCCGATGTTCCTCTCAGGGAGGGGAGCCGGGCAGGACGAGGAGCGAGATGCGACCTGGGGGATGGCGAGGGAGGAGGAGAGGCCGAGGAGGAAGCCGAGGAGGAGGAGGGAGGATTGCTCGTGATGGATCGATCGATCAATCTTCCTCGGGAAGAGGATCGTGCAGAGGAGGAGGAGGAGGAGGAGGAGGCTGGGGGCGGCGGCAGCGCGCATCTTCTGGGGATGGCTTGGGGAGGCGGGGAGAGGGGAGAAGGAGGAGGGGGAGGAGGTGTTCGGGGGTCCCAGGGAGCAGGAAGGGTAGGAAGAAGCGAGGAAGAGTAGGACGAGGAGGGGGAAGAGGAGGAGGAGGAGGAGTAGGAGGAGGAGGTGGAGGAGGAGGAGGAGGAGGAGGAGGGGGGAGGAGGAGGAGGAGGAGGAGGAGGAGGAGGAGGAGGAGGAGGAGGAGGTGGAGGAGGGAGCACGAGGAGAGGGAGCAGGACGATGACGAGGAGCACAAGGTCGTCCTCCTTTGAGGCGACGACGGCGGCGACGGCGGCGATGATGATGGGCAGCGGTCACGCGCCGCCCGCGCCGCGGCCGCCCCGAGGTCCTCACCGCCTCTATGCCCGGCGCCATCCACGCCCATGCCGACGACATCGATGGAGGGGACGCGGGCGGGCGAGAGTTCAGACGCCCGAAATGAGTCCGGAAAAATTGGCACGCTGCCCAACAGTGAATGTTGTCCAAAACCGACAGCCGCCGCTGTTGGGCGGGAGACTGACGGACAACGCCTGCGGCGACGCCGGCAGCGAGACCAGGAACTGTTGGCGGTCTTCGTCCCCATTATTTCTGTACCCATATTGATCGTGCTGGGGTACTAAGATGGGGGCGGGCGAGGGGAGTGGGACAGCCGAACAGACATATCCGTATGAGCATCGATGTTCGGAGGTCCGTGCGGATGTTTTGGATCGGCGTTGGGCGTACACCAACACGTACACTGCGCACGTGCAGCAATAGCGTGCTAGATGTGCCGGACATCGGTGCTGCATTCCAAACCGTTGTACCAAGGGTTTGCATCAAGGCCAGACATGCAAGACATAAATCCGAGAAGATTTAAGGGTCACCGTGGACATTTCAAAGCGAGGAGGAGGAGGGAGGAGGAGGAGGAGGAGGAAGGAGGAAGGCGGAGGAGGCGGAGGAGGCGGAGGGCACAGGACGCAGGGCGCAGGGGCGGGCACAGGGGCGCAGGGCAGGGCTGTACGCGCGCGGGGGAATGCAAACGCAAACGCAACCGCTTGCACCATGTGGACATGACGTACAGCACATCGCAAAGCGAGCGTGCTTAGAAGCACGAAGTATGCACTTAAATAGTCGGACTGGCAACCGCACGTAACACCGACCAAAAAGAACACATAACGCAGGAGACAGCATGCGCACATACAGATATCGCAGGAAATGCGCAACGGCCATGCGTAATCCGTTATGTGTCATATTGTGTTAAACTCACACGCGACATACGCATGTTTCAATTACTCGCAGCAGCACCCTGGTAGACATCGTCCAAAGCCGCTTGTTTATGTGTTGAGTATCGCGAGGGCCCATGCGGGCGAAGTTAAATCACAACTACCCAGGAGCTGATCGAACGTCATCAGGAACTGGAGCCAGCATTCCAGAACCCGATCCATCTCTTAGAACGCGTGGTCCGGTATCCTCAAATATGGTCCCGACACAATCCCGACATTGATCGCGAACGACTCGAACATTAACCCGATGCCCTCTTGGAACTTGGCCCTGCATCTTCTGGAATTTGATTCCACCTCTCGCTCCGAATTGATGCTATATCCCCAGACCTTGTTCGGACGGGGGACGTGAGGGAGGCAATCGGTGGCGGAGACGGAGAAAGATGAGCGCCAGTCGCCAGACCCTGCGGGCCAAGCCCGCCCGATTGGGCAACAAAAAGCGTCCAGCTCGCGAGCGTCGAGGGGCGCGCAAGGGGGGAAGGAGAGGAGGAGGAGGAGGAGGAGGAGGAGGAGGAGGAGGAGGAGGAGGAGGGGGAGGAGGAGGAGGAGGAGGAGGAGGAGGAGGAGGAGGTGCCCTCGGAAGTATCCGGAGGCCCAGAAAGTTCGCCGTTTGTGAGCCGAGCTGCGTCGGGGGTCCGTGGAGGGAGGGTGATCCCAGGGTGGGGCTGGGGAACGGGCCCAGCTGGATGCTCCCGTTTATATCGCGCTTGTTGCTTCCAGGGGCCGTTCCGCGTGACGTTCCTTCCAGCCCCACCTTTTCCCTTCCCCATCTTTGTCCCCCCCAACCCGGCTGAGGAGCCCAACTGTGTCCAGATCCTCTGGCCCCTCGGGTCCTGCGAGATCGGTTCCCAGGGCGGCGGCTACTATGGAAGTCTGGCCTCTCGCAGAGAGGGCCAGAGCATCCCTCCTCGATCTCCTCCTCCCTCAAAGGGGCCCTGGCCTCCTCAAAGAGAAGGCCAGAGCATCCATCCTCGAGCCTCTCCTCCCTCAAAGGGGGCAGGCGATGGGGACAACGACGTGCTCGTGGCGGCGATGTACTCCGACAGGGCCGTTCCGCCGCATCGGGGGGTTGGGTCGCGAGAGGTGCAGTCAGCAGGTCGCTCGATTGCGGGATGAAGTGCTCTCCTCCTCCTCCTCCTCCTCCTCCTCCTCTTCCTCCACATACTCCTCCTACCTCTCCTCCCCCTCCTCCTCCTTCTCCTCTTCCTCCGGCACCTTGGATGTATGAAACTGAGACGCGTGATCAGATCTACGTATCGGAGTAGGGGAGGAAGTAACAGGGACGAAGGCAGACATGAGCGGTCACCAATTCGGTAGCGGGTTCGTTGTCGGTGTCGGCGCGAACGTAGTCAATGTTTGACGCTTCGCTGACCCACTAATCCATCAGTGGCGGCGTAGTTTGTTTCGCTGTTTTTCCTTCGTTACGGCGCGGCCCGCCCTGGCGTGCTCGGCGTTCGACTTGATTCGCTCGCGCGCGTACCAAAAGGTATCCCCTGATCCATCCAGAACCGATCGCCAGGCGCCGTGATTGGACCATGTATGTGTAGAAGCATGCAGTGGATCACCCGCCCATAAGAATAAGTGGGGAATCGTATCAATCAGATCTTACCCGCGACGGGGAATCCAATCTAGCATCGGGTCCATGCAAGGCAAGCACCGGGGCAAACGAAACGGGGGAGCCTCGGGAGCCTTGAGACAGGGGTCAATGCAAAGGTGGCCAGCCAGAGCGCTGAATCTTACAGGACTCTGCAGTGCCAGGGTTGCATTGACCCGGGCTAACGTGCTGGATCCTGCAGGATCTTGCAGAACTTTGCAGGCTTCTGCAAAGCCCGACTGACCCGGGTCTGGGTTGACCTGGGTCAGTAGACCCCACAGAACCGATGCGCAGGCAGGCCCAAGTTGTATTAGGAGCCTCGTAGATCGTGGAGGCTTTCTGGAGCCATTTTGGGAAGAGGGGGGGGATGAGACGGGGAGACAGGGGATGAGGATGAGGAGGACGAGGATGAGGATTCTTAGAGCCGTCTTTGGGTCTTCTTGATGCCGTCTTGGGGCTTTCTGGGAGTAGGAGGACGAGGATGAGGAGGAGGAGGAGGTGACGGACGAGGAGGACGACGACCTTTGCAGAAACGAGGGTGAGGGCGCGGACGATGAGGAGGAGGAGGAGGAGGAGGAGGAGGAGAAGGAGGAGAACGAGTAGGAGAAGGACGACGACGAACATGGAGACGAGGACGAGGAAAACGAAGACGAGGAGGAGGATGAGGAGGACGACAACAAGGACGAGAACTTTTGGAGCCAGCTTGGAGTCTTCTGGGTGTCCTCTGGGAGTTCTCTGTGGGTCCTCTCTGTGCCCTCGTGGTGCCCTTGTGGAAGACTCTGTAGTCCTCATGGGGCTCGGTTGTATCTTGGGGCGCTCCGGGGGGCTGCTTGGCGACCTTTCGGGAGCCCTGGAGGGCTTCTAGGGGCCATCTTGTAAGGCGTTGATCAAAATAGAGGGGTTCTGGATTTACCTCCCCTTCCTTGGGTCCATGAAAGACGCCTTGTGGGGCGCTGTTGGGGCAGTCTTGGGGGCGCTTTTTTCTCCGGGGGATCTCTTGGGCAATAGTGGAGCCATGGTGGAACCTCAGAAGTCCATCGGAAGCGAAAAGGTGAGAATTCAAAACACATTGATTGTCCATGTTTCAAACATACGACTCTGGCCCCTACGGGGGTTCGTGGGGGCTCCGAGAGCATTTGGAACTATCCTGTGGCTCGCTCGGGGCCTCTTGAGGGTATGATGCAGGCCATCTTGAGCCATCATCGGCTATCTTGAGCCGTCTTGGGGGCCCTCTTGAAGAATCGGGGGAGCTCGTTGGAGCCAACATAGGGAATCTTGGGCGCCATGACCGTTCCAGCTGGGGCCCGTGCAACCTCAGGGAGGGGATGGGGGGGGGTCCCCCTCTCCAATAATCTTTTTGAAGAGGTAGGGGACGTGTCGATACACCACCTCAGCCCAGACGATTGGTTTGATTCGAGACAACCGTCGCTTGCCCAGCAGCGGTCGCCGTCGGTTTTGGATAAGCGTGCACCTTTGGACGTCGTGCTCATTTTCCCTGTTCGCATCGCAGGTGTGCCGATGTGGTGTCCAATGCTGTGTTGTCCATAATGTGATAATCAATGCGTTGGGTTATCCAGGAGTGGTTTGCAACGCAAGGTTTGGATTATGCAGAACTCTGTGACACTTCATTCCGTCATACATAAGCTGACCAATGATACCACAACTAGTTGGAGAGTGAGATGGGCTTGTGATGCCCTCGCAAGTACAGCCGCCACTTCATTCGTGTTGGGATTCTGGCAATCAGGACTCCCGGCTTGCCACGACACTCATAAGCGCAGGGTTATGAGGGGATTTTCCCTGGGGATTTCCCCAGGACCACCTATCTATTCTGAGTTGATTGTGACTGCTTTACGGCCGTTGCTGCCGACCCTGGAGTGGAAGCCCGAAGTTCTTGGAAAGCAAGGAATCGAAGGGGAAAGCTTCTCCCAGGGATTGAGCAGTGGCGAAGCGTCCTGGCTTTGCTATGTGCCCATCAACAAATGTTCTAATAACAAATGGTCTTAGAACACTTCTGGCTGATATTATCTTGTTTTAACGCGTCGTTTTTTGTTCTAAGGGCATGATCTTTGTTCGTAGAGAACATTTTTGGGTTCTAAGAACATGTCGTGGTAGGCTTATAGGATTGCCGGGACGGTCGGTCCCTACTCGGAGGGGTGATCCCTCACGGGGGGGGGATCCCTCACGGGGGGTGATCCCCCATCTCCCCATCCAACCCCTCCCCCTGCGGGGAGGTGCTCAAAGGGAAGGGGCTTCCCTTCGACTCGACTACGACTCTGCTCGAGTTCTTGGAAAGCAAGGAATCGAAGGGGAAAGCTTCTCCCAGGGATTGAGCAGTGGCGAAGCGTCCTGGCTTTGCTATGTGCCCATCAACAAATGTTCTAATAACAAATGGTCTTAGAACACTTCTGGCTGATATTATCTTGTTTTAACGCGTCGTTTTTTGTTCTAAGGGCATGATCTTTGTTCGTAGAGAACATTTTTGGGTTCTAAGAACATGTCGTGGTAGGCTTATAGGATTGCCGGGACGGTCGGTCCCTACTCGGAGGGGTGATCCCTCACGGGGGGGGGATCCCTCACGGGGGGTGATCCCCCATCTCCCCATCCAACCCCTCCCCCTGCGGGGAGGTGCTCAAAGGGAAGGGGCTTCCCTTCGACTCGACTACGACTCTGCTCGATTCCTCTTTGGCTGGGGCGCTTGGAGAGGAGGGCCCACGGACAGGGACAGGGGGGAGCGGCGACAGCGACAACAACGACAACGACGACGACGGCGACGACGACTCGAATGGAAACGCCAGGCAGGGAGGCCCGCATTGGAGCGTCCTTCCGGGCGCCGGAGGTGCGTGTCGATCCGAGCGGGTGCGATTCGAAGAATGGACCTGATTTCCAGCACTACCACCATAAGTTGGAGGGGGAGGGGGTCCTCCTCCTCCTCCTCCTCCTCCCCTCCTCCCCCTAACCTCCTCCTCCTCCTCCCCCCTCCTCCTCCGCCTCCTCCTCCTCCTCCTCCTCCTCCTCCTCCTCCTCCTCCTCCTCCTCCTCCTCCTCCTCCTCCTCCCCCCTCTCCTACATATGGTGGTGTTTGTGGAACATGGGCCCACCATGTCCCCCCTTGCTGGCTGGCGGTCGGTGGTCTGTGTCCGCGGGCGCACGGCAGGTCTCCCTGTTTGAGAACCTCGGCGACGGGGAGTTCAGCGACGAGCAGATCATCAGCGAGCAGGCCAAAGGTGCTGCTCCGCACTCGACCGCCGCGGCGCGTGTGCGGGGGTCTCCCTCGGCCACGTGTGGAGTCCCGATGCTTCAAATCAAGTGCTGCCCGAACCGAATCTTCCGGACAGCCGCGCGGAGTTCGTAGTCGGCGCCAGTCCCTGCGCCTCCAGCGCACAGCGCACCCCTGACGATTCAACGGTCCCTGCTGGCCTCTGGGAGGTGATGCTTGCGTGCGTGTGTCCTAGGTGCCCTTGCCCACGGCCATGCGTTCGGTCCAGGTCTGCCGTATCTGTGCTGCATCTCTCCTCGGCGAACTCTCCCCAGTTGCTTGGTGTAACCGTCTTGAGCAGTCTGACAAGCACGATGGGCATGTGCTCCACCACCACCACCACCACCACCACAAGTTGGAGGGGGGAAGGAGGAGGGGGATGAGGCGGAGGAAGCGGAGGAGGAGGAGGAGGAGGAGGAGGACCCCTTCCCCCTCCAACTTATGGTGGTTGTGGTGGAAAACAAGCCCACCAAAGCAGCCCCACGATTCTGAAGCGCGTGTGCGTTATTGTGTATGCTCTTGGCGTTGGCGCCTGATAGTTCTTCGTCTGGGAGCACAAGGCTTCTCTGGGGTCCAGCTGGGGCCACTGGGGCCCAGCGTTAAGTCGGGCCTGTCCCTCAACAGGAGGAATATTCAAAAACATACAAGAATGGTATGGGGACGAATTCTCCAGTATGAGTATGTTTCTGGCACTGTTTGGCTACTGTTTGTTTCGTCCAAAATCCGCCTGTATGGGGACGTGCCCGACTCAAAGTATACCGTCTTGTGCGCGATTATTCAACCGAGCGCTCCCGAAACTACACGGTTGACCCATCTCAGGGCCGTCTGGGCGGTTTTTGGGATTGTCTGAACGCCTTCTTGGGCCGATCATGAGGTGTCTTTGGGTTTCTCGGGCCGTCTCGTGTGTTCTTCGGACCTTCTTGGGGGCCGCGTTTGGGCAATCGATCAGAAGCATCATTGCGCCTCTCGTGGGTAGAGGAGCGTGGCAGACAGGACATGCAGAACAGGACAAGGAAGTTCGTTGTCTTGGGCCTACCGCGGCCTTGCATGAGAGTTCACCGGCTGATCGGATGTCGAGGCCGTGCTGGAGCTCTCTCGGGACGGCTTCGGCACGCTACAGGAAGCGGTGAGAGTCGGGGGCGAATTCCGAATCCTACCCTCGCCGATCAAGGAGGATTCAGGCAGCTCGACGGGCGGTGGCGGCAGGGTTCGGGTCTCCGCAAGCAGGCATTCCAACGCGTCCCAGCGTGCCGAGGGCACGGTGGCGGACCCATAGGCCTGACCGGCTGCCACCACCACAGGCTCCAGATTTCCGTTGCAGTGGAGACCCATGGGTTCCGATGGTCTTGCCATGGAAAGCGCGACGTGCCCATACCAGAATCAATAGACGTTCTGGGGTCTCGGGGCTGGGTTCCTTGTGGAAGCTCTCTTGGGGACTGACCTCCACCGTGTGGTGCGCGGTAAACGGAAGAGCGAAGAAATGTGTACCTTCGGGGAAACGTAAGACTCGAGTAAGCCGGAACTCGGGCTTGCCGATTTTTTTTTGACGAGCGCGTTTTGGATTTTGACGGTCCCGTTTTCGTGGGGTGTCTGCAGCGGGAGCCCACGTCAAATTTCAGGTGGGGTCTCGTCATTTTTGTGATGGCCTTCGTCAGGCCAACCCGAGTCCCCCGTACCCGAGTCTTACGTCTCCCCGCACCTCCCGTGCACCGTCGGGGCCCCTATGTGGGGCCCCTTGTGGGCCTCCTCCGGACTCACTTCCGTCACTTAGGGTTGTCGTACGGCAATGGGTTGCACACAGTTGCGAACTATGGGAACCCATGGGCATTTGGACAGTAGGCACCAAGTCAAGGGCGCGCGAAGTTGTTCGCGCTTCGCGTTTCGGCTTCGATTCCTCCTCATCCTCTTCTTCTCCCCTGGGAGGCGGCGCGAGAGCGCGAAGTTATTCGCACTCCGCGTTTCGCGCAGCGCGAAGCGCGAAGTTTGGGATTCGTAGCGCGCAGCGTTGAGCGAGTGTCGTTGGGTGTCCCATAAGTCGCGCGTTTATCGCCCTCGATTGCGAAACACGCTACGTGCGCCACAGTGACTGCAGGCATCGCCAACGTGATCGGGCCTCTCCTACCGTCTCGTGCCGGGCCGTGCGCGCAGCCTCCCCGCGGGGCGGGGGGGAGGCGGATTGGGAGCATACGCGTCATGAAGATGAGGAGAGGATGGCAAGGAAGATGATGATGAAGAATGAGAGCATGATGATGGTGATGATGATGATGACGATGATGAAGAGGATAACGAGGATGAGGATCATGAGGAGGATGCGGATGAGGATGAGGATGAGGATGAGGACGAGGACGAGGATGAGGAGAAAGATGAGGAGGATGAGGATGTGGATGATGATGAGGATGAGGATAAGGACGAGGAGGAGGAGGATGAGGAGGGTGAGGATGAGGATGAGGACGAGGATGAGGATGAGGATGAGCATGATGATGGTGATGGTGATGGTGAGCATATGTGTCGGGAAGATGAGGAGGGCAAGTATGATGATGATGCTGCTGATGGTGGTGACGATGATGACGATGATGCTGTTGACGCTCATGATGATGTTGATGCTGATGCTGATAATGATGGTGAGGATGAGGATGAGGATGAGGATTAGGATGATGATGAGGATGAGGATGAGGACGAGGAGGAGGAGGAGGAGGAAGAGGAGACGGCTGAGGATGAGGATGCGGATGCGGAGCGGATGAGGATGAGGATGAGGATAAGGATGAAGATGTTGATGGTACTGAGGATGGTGATGAGAATGGTGATGGTGATGGAGAGTGAGATGGTGATGATGATGATGATGATGATGATGATGATGATGATGATGATGATGATGATGGTCATGATGGTGGTGATGATGCTGACGATGGTAGCCCTGATGTCTGCGTTGTTTCTGTTGTTGTTCATGATGATGGTGAGAAGGATGAGTATGTTGATGATGATGATGATGCTGATGATGATGATGATGATGATGATGATGATGCTGATGATGATGATGATGATGATGAGCATGATGGTGGTGACGGTGATGATGATGATGATGCTGAGACTGATTATGATGATTATGATGATGACGATGCTTATGTTTATGATGATGCTGGTGATGATTCTGATGATGCTGATGATCACGATCCGGATCATGATCATGATAATGGTGATGATGATGGTGATGGTGGTGATTGTTGCGATCATCATGATTATCATCATCATCATTCTGGTGATGGTTATGGTGATGGTGATGATGATGAGGAGGAGGATAAGGAGGACGAAGGGGATGAGGATATGATGTGGGCGATGAGCCAGAAGGGCGTATCTGTCGATCCCGGCCCAGGATTGGCCCTGCAAGGATCGGGGCATGTGGAATTCCTGGCGTCCTGTTACTTCCTTCCCCTCGACCCCCCTTGGCTCTGCTCCAAACGTGGAGGGGGGAGCGGCGGCAGGAGGGAGGAGGCGGGGCAGGAGAAGGTGCAGGGAGGAGGGAGAGGTCGACAAGGGCAGGAGGGAGTAGGAGGAGGGGGGAGAGAACGAGCTAGAGGAAGGACGAGGAGGACGACGACAGCGCCGCCGACCACGGCCGACGCCGTCGACGTCGAGAACGACGACGTCGACGACGCCGGCGACGACGCCGGCGACGACGCTGACGACGACTACGACGACGACGCCGACGACCGAAAGCCCATCAAAGTTTGTGCCCTAGCCCCTCTCGGAGTCCATCCTGGGCGTTCTGTTCATCCTGGGCCTACTCTTGACGGTCACCGAAGCTGGCCTCTGGCGTCCGCGTGTGGCTACGAACTTGTCAGGATTTGGAAGACGACGTCGGCGGCGGCGGCGACGACTAACGGCGGACGGTTGGCGGCGAGGGCGACGATGTGTGGACGGCCGCCCGCCCGTCGGAGCCATGGCCTCGACGACGCCGGCGTCGACCACAGCTCGTGAGCGGTAAAGAGCAGCACGGGCACTTCAGGGCAGAAGCAGGGGGACCATAAACACACACACACACACACACACACACAAAAAAAACACACACACAAAACACACATGTGGGAAACAACACACACAAACACACACACACAACAAACACACCTACACACAAAGCAAACAAAACACACACACTGTGTGTGAACAAAACACACTGTGTGCTTGTGTGTGTGTTGTGTGTTTTTGCCCACGGTGTGTGTTTGTTTGTGTGTGTTGTGTGTGTGTGTGAGTGTGTGTGTGTGTGTGTGTTTTGGGACCATGACCAAGATGTCGCGTGATCTTGTTGACGCCAACCCTGGTCACATGGTCCATGCCAGCCGTGGCCGACTCCCCAGATTGACGTTTTCGCGTTCACTCATGGGTATGGCCACCGCTTTCTCCCCCTCCAGACACGCGCGCCGTCTCCCAACTTGCTCGTGTTACTGCTGCTCCTGCGCTTCGTGCCCAAAAAGGCCTGGCACCCCCTCAGCAGTAGCGCGCTGGTGGGGTCGTCCGCCGACTGGCGTGACTTTGGTGTTGCCCTTGCTTCCGCGGCGAAATCCGAGCCCTAGCCTCGCCGATCAACGATGGGCGGCGGGGGTAGGGTTCGGAATGCTTCGAACACGCGGCGAGCTCCGAGCCCCACCAGCGCCTCCCATCGAGTCAGGAGAACCGATAGTTGGTGGGGGGGGAGGAAGTTCCAGGAGCAAGAGCAGGAGGAGGAGGAAAAGGTGGAGAAGCAGGAGCAGGAGGAGGAGGAGGAGGAGCAGCAGGAGCAGGAGGGAGAGCGGGAGCAGGAGGAGGAGGAGGGGGAGGAGGAGGAGGAGGAGGAGGAGGAGGAGGAGGAGGAGGAGGAGCATGAGCAGGAAGCAGGAGGAGGAGCCAAATGTGATGCGGAGGCCGCCAACCGCTTGCCTTGGCTCTCCGAGCGCCACACGACCTCGGACGGAGGGCATCGGCGGACGACTGGCGAC